AAAAAAGTGCAAGCCGCATTTCTTATGAAGGACCAACAGAACAAGGCATATCAAGTCTTACAGCTGCATCATTAAAGATGGGGCGATTAAGCACTTATGCAGCTGAAAGGCGAATATTACTTTCTATAGTTGCTAATGAGTATTCTCAGACGTTCCTTATGAAACTGTTTCAATGTGCCAAAAGCACAATTACTGCATCCAGAATTCATTTCAACTTGTTTGGTAGAGGGGGAGTACCACCACCGTCGGTGAAGTTTACACGGCAGTGTGTTACCCAAGAAGTTCTTGATGGTTTGTACGATTTCCTTTTTACGTGATGGCATTTCAAGGCCATCATCATGTAGAAGTGTCATGGTCAAGGGAGAAGAATGTCCAGTCAGATACTGGCAAGACTCCAACAAAGGTATCATCAAACAATATCTGATGGAATTCCCAGATGGTGTGAAAAGAACATACATTTACACCCATGTTCCTGAGAACTTTAGAAGCAACTCTCTCCTTGCAGGACTCTGCAATCTGTGCGAGGATTTTGGATATGCCAGTTTTGCAAGTCTCATTGATCTGGTGAAGGAACCGTCAATCAATGCCCAACAACCAGCATTACAAGATATCCTAAGTGAAATCGGAAATCTGCAAAGATACCTGAAAACCAAATTTGCAAAAGAGGTAAATAAATAATTAATAATAATAAATAATTTCATCCTATTTCTATTTTTGTTTTATATTCTACATATTACCGTAAATAAATTTGAGAGGAAGTCAGTTTTCTGAAGAGTGAGTTGATATTATGAGGAAGCATCTATAAAATAATTTCTGCCAGAATAATGAAGAAGTGGTTGGGCCAGGGTTGTATAATAAATGCAATTGTATCATTTTTACCTTTTCTTTGGAAGAAAAAGGGGAGATTGCATGTTCAAATGTGGCATTTGTAAGCTTAAAATTATAAAAGTTTTTTGTCAACCTTTCTTTCAGGCACAGAAACACTCACGTTGTCTTGAGCTCTGTCTGAGTCATGCCCTCGATGCCTGCACCAAAGATCATGATAAGGATTCACAAGAATTCACTGCATTTTACAGTGTCACAAGCAAAGTTGAACAGGCAATTTCCATATCACATCCAGACAAGACAGAAAGTTTAACACTACAACTACATGACTTCAAGAAGAATTTCTGGCTGTATATTGGGCACATTTTAAGGACCACACATCAAGCAGAGTATTACCGGTATGAGAAGATTACCATGAGTTGCAGATAATAGTATTAAAAGTAATTTATCATTTGCTCCATGTATACCATCTAGTAAATCGAAACATTATTTCACCCACACAAGAATGTCAAACTCGCAACACGAATAGAGTAGTCAAGTGTGACGTCACGTTGCCATGGAGCTAAAAAATGCTGTTCTAAACAACTCCTTCATGCCAGGCGCCATTAGCGTGACTGCTTTGTTGTGAAGACTTCAGCTCTATTTAATTGCTAAAACAATCGTCTTTACCAAAGAAAAAGACTTGAATTAGTTTAATTGGGACATACTGTTTAAATAGTTTTGAAAAATAATAAAATCGCTTGAAAGACTGAAGCAATAATTGACGTCTAAAAGTTGCCGTAACGAAACTTCGAGGAAAACATGGTTCAGTGCTTTGCTCCTGACTGCAATCACGCTTCAGAGAGCCATACTTGCAGGTTTTTTGGATTCCCAAGTAGTACAAAGAAAGTAGAAGATTACAAGCGGTGGATTAAACTCTTAAGGTAAGTTATTCTTTATTAATCGC